CCCCTTCCCCTTCCCTGGAGCCAAACACATCCCCTCCCTGCTGTAACCCACGTGAGAGCGGCTGACCTGAGTGGTTCCAAGTTCCGTCTCGGTTCCGTCAGGAGCGCTTGCCATTTTGATGCCGGGCTATCGGGAGTGCCGGATAATTGGGTGCCAGACTATTGGAAGTTTTACTGTACCTTGTATCCCCTGTTGCTTCTCTGTATGTGGGGAGGATGCCTCCCTGCTTCAGAGATGTGTAAAATCCCTAATTGATTGTGCGGTGCTTAGATCTTGTAAGGGCCAAATGTGTAGCTAGCTTTATCCCTTGCAACATATGAACGTATTGGGGGCTCAATATGTCGCTCCCTTTCCATGACTGTAATCCCGCAGGGCCTGGCACACCCAGCTTGTACTTCAAACTGACTTACTCTTGCTGTTTCCACTTAATTTACCATGAAGTGGTCGAAATAAATGGGGTGTTGAGAAGACTGTAGCTGGATGATGTCCACCTGATAATATTCAGTGTAGTTTTTGGTTCTGGGATTTTAGAGAGACAAGGTGGGTGAGGTAATATCTTCTATTGGCCGAACATCCTGTCTCCATCGGCAACAGTAGTTGGTCCAATAAAAAATATTATGAAATCCATGTGACTTTGCAGGCTTGTTGTAGGATGTCATTAGGGATGCGAAAGGTTGATCAGTTAACCAGTTAGTATCACCCTTCCGGTTAACCAGTGGGGGCTGGAGCAACCCCCTGCCCATGGCTCCAGCCCCATGGGGGACTCGCCGTGGACAGGGGCTGCTCTGGACAGGTGGGAGGTGTCTCATGGAGTAAGATCTAGGTGGGGGGCTGGTCCACACTGAAAAGTTACATTGACTTAGCTACATCTCCGTAAAGACAACACTAGGTTGATAGAAGAACTCTTCCGTTGACTAAGCTACCACTTCTCAGGGAGCTGCATTATCTTCAACAAATGGAGAGCCCCCTCCTTTTGTTAGAGTACATGTCTATTCTGCATTATGGCAGCTGTGCTGGTAGTATGAAGTGTAGCTATATGGTAGGCCATAGTGGGTTTATATGTCTGGACTGTAAAGAACTTCCAGGAGCATTTCTTTTGCAGGAAATTTAAGTGTGATAGCAATAGCTACTACAATAATGTCTCATGGTCCTTGACACATGAGCACAGTGAACTGGATTTTTCAAGGCCAGGCTCAGTGGTCAAGTATGGGTGGCTGTGATGCTGTTTTGTGTATGTCGAAAGAAAGAAAATAGCGTGTCATTCACAAGATAAATCGCGTATGAGGCAAATAGCCAGGAAGATGAATTACGTGTGTCTTTTCCACAAACAGGCAAAGTGAACTGTGAATCTCATTTCAGAAGGGTAGCTGTGTTAGTCTGTAAGGCTATGTCTACACTGCATCATTTTTGCAGAAGAGGAAATGCAAATGAAGCGCTCTTTAGCATTTCTCATGCTCTCATTTGCATAGTCTCTTCCAATCCTTTTTGCGGAAGAAGTTTTTGCGGAAAAAAATGCAGTGTGGATGGGGCCATTTTTATCAAAAAAACCCTTTTGTGCAAGATCCCTTATTCCTCAAAAAATGAGGTTTACAGTGTAGACCTAGCCTAAGGGTGCATCTACACAGCACCCTAAACTCGAAATAAGATATGCAATTTGTGCTATGGATTTTGAAATAATGGATGGCTTGTGTAGATGTGAGGTGGCTATTTCGGTTGATGGTATCTAATGTAGATGGTATCATGAGCTTTCATCTGAAGAAGTGGGTTGTGCCCATGAAAGCTCATGATACCATCTACATTTTTTGTTTGTCTCTAAGGTGTTGCAGGACTATTAATTTGTGGCTCTCTTACGATCCACAGCCTTTGAATGAAGATACTTGGAGCTCAGGAAGATATAAGGAGTAAAAATGTTTTGAATTTGTCTCACTGTGACTGTTCTTGACTGTAAACTTTTTTCCTGTATGGATGAGTGTTCTCTTTGAACACATGAGTGATTTTTGACATTTTTTCAGGTCATGTAGGAAAACCTGCATTTCCATACCTCTCAACTTTCAAGTATGCCTATCTGTGACAAAAGCAATTAAAATGTGTGACAATGACTAGTGTGCATAATACTTGCGTTTTTATTTGCATGTCACACTGGAATTGCCAGAAAATCCTGTTTTTTAAGCTATAATACCTCTTTTTAAGAATATATAATTCATACAATGAAAAAAAGCAAACATTTTTAAAAAATAGCATTTGAAAATCAGATTCGATTATGTAGAACTAAAAGGACCTCTCAGAGAGGTAGCCATGTATTTGCAAAAACAAGGAGTCCTGTAGCACCTTAGGGGGCGGCTATACATCACCTTTACCTCGAAATAACTTATTTCAAAATTAATTTCAAAATAAAGCGCTATTCCGAAACATTACTTAACCCTCATGCAATGAGATTTACAGGGATGTAGGAATAGTGAGCCCATTATATTTCGATATAACAGGCTTGCTATTAAGGAAATAGCTCCACAGTGTTGACGTAGCCTTAGAGACTAACAGAATTAGGGCATAAGCTTTTGCATGTAAAACCCACTTCATCAGATGAATTGAAGTGGGGTTTACAGAGGCGCATATATATATATATATATATATATATATATATATA